CCTGCCTTCGAGAGCAAGAAGTTGATGGTCTTCTCCAGGAGATGCACGGGCGCGATGAATTGGAGCAGCCTGGTCTTGTCCTTGCTCAGCTGGGAAGCCCGGCCACCGAGGTTGGCGAGGTCGTCCCGGATCGCGTCGGCAGAATCGTTGTACGACTTGCGGAAGTGTTCCTGGACCTCGGAGCTCATTGGCAGAGTGTGGAGACCAGTGATCTTCGAATAAACTTGCTTCACGTCCGTGGCCGGCACCGACGGGGGGGCGTCTTTCTGGAACAGCTGGCGCCCCGCGAACAAAATATTAGCGAGGCCGCCGACGACGTCGTCGTAGTTCATGCTGTTGAAGTAATCCGGGTCGTCCTGGAACAGCTGCTCGACCTCCGCGGGGTTGAGGTCCGGCATGATTTTGTGGACCACCACGGGGAATTTCCCGACCAAGAACCGCGAAAGGCCTGCCACCGAGTCCGACTGGCGGGCCTGGCGTTCCACCTCCTCCAGGCGCATGAAGACGGAGCCGACCACGTGCACGTTGCGCACGTTGAACTTGGACTGGTTGTTCGCTGGGTTGCACAAGTCGTGGTCCATGATCTGGTTCAAGTCCTCCACGCCGCCGCCGGGGCCGCTCGCGAAGAGATCCGTCATGAACGTCTTGCCCTCGTGAAGCCCGAAGTAAGCTACTCCGCCCTGCCCCTTCAGGAACTGCCCTAAACCGATGAACGTGCCTTTGTTGAAAATCGAATCCACGTCGGCGGGCGGCGTCAGCTTCTGATCTTCATCTGCGGAGTCCTCCTCCTCGGCAGCCTGACCCTGGCCTTGCCTCCTCTTGTCTTTCTTGTCTCTCACTTTTTGATCGTAGGCTGCCTTGGCGACTTTGTTGCGGATCTTGTCGAAGTACGCGAGGATTTGGAAAACGAGCCACAACGCGATCGACTTCCCGTCCCCTGGCGCGCCGTGTTGAATCATCAGAGGGTTCGAAAACTTGCCCAATATCCCCCCGTACTTGACCTGCACCGCGTCCAAGACGAGGGACATGAGGATTACCAAGTGAACGTACACGCAAGATGGGCGCAGCGAAGTGGCTCTGCCAACCGCGCCAGCCACGCTCCACGCAAGTGGAGATGAAGCGTGAACGACATCAACAGGGAACGGGTTCAGGCTGTCCATGAGCTGGTAGGCCAAGCGCACGGCCCCGGTCTCCATGAAGGGCAGCTCGTCTGGGCGCTGGGCCCGTGCACCAGCCCTGCCGTTGAACTTGCCAGAGTGTTGGCCAGGGGCAGCAGTAGCTCCAAGCGCGCTTCCGAGCACGACAAGCACCGCCGAGAACAGGGTGGCCATGGCGTCGACCACGACGCAGCTACTACTGGCGCGCTGCGCGACGCAAGGTCTGTTCTTACTCGCGCTGGGCAAAAGAAGCTGTAGAGCCGATAGTCACACTAGGTGGTTTGGGGAATGAGATCTTCCCCTGGATTTGGGCGGAGCGGGGCAGCGCCGCGCGTTAGAGCGTCGAAAATGGCCCGAAATGAGTCTGAGATAACGCCGTATGGTCCCAGATGGCTACCAATATGGCGCAGCGTAGCCCGGGTTCGATCAGTCTGACGCCGACCATTCTTGGAGCATCCCAAGGATGCCTTCCAACAACATCCACCCGCGCTCGAGGCGCAGGTGGTCTAGCGCGTTTCCTCTTGCAACCTCCCTTTCTCCCTTCGGGGGGGGGGGGCGGTTACCCCTCGCCCTACCCCCCTGGGTCTGGACATGAGGGGCCGCGCTCCGTTGAAGCGTCCAGAATGGCCGAAGGTGGCGCCAACAGGGCTTCAGAGAGCCGAAGATGACCTTCAAGGTTGTCTACATTGCGTCAAGACGCTTTTCAAGACATTCGAAGAGGTTCCGAGAACGCCCCAAGACGGGCCCAAGGGGTCTTCGAGCGCTCCCCAAAGAAAAGCCTCGAGAGCCCGAGAGTCCAAAAGCCTTCACAAAGTGAATGCAATCAACGTTTGTGTGCTTTTCAGTTTTTCGCTTCGGATGGCCCTCCCAAGCCTCAAGATGGCTCCCAGAGGGCCCGAGGGAGACCCAACAGAGGCCCAAATGGGCTAGAAGACGGATCCAAGAGCGCCCGCGAGAGCCCAAAGAGCGCCCCAAGGCCCCAAGAGGCGGCTTGTGTGCGGCTCCAGCGGCCGACGTACTTAGAAGGCCGGAGGACCCCCTCTTCTTTGATTGATGGCCTCCAAGGGAGCTCCACGGAAGACCCCAAAGCTTCCAAGAGAGCCCAAAGAGAGCCCCCTAAATGGCCCCAGTACAGCCCCACGAGCACCCAATAAGCGCTCAAGAAAGTTTCAGGAGTGGATTTGCTTTACCCCAAGGAGGGGCAACGCTAATCCGCGTCGACCCCGTGTTTGAAGGATGTCATCCAAGATGGCGCCAGAATTTCATCAAGGCCACCAAGAGAGTCCCAGAGCAAAGGATCCGCAGTAGTCTGTCTGGTCCAATTGTCGCCTTCTCTTGCATCCTCCTCTGACTCCTCCTCCTCCTCCTCCTCCTCCTCCTCCTCCTCCTCGGCCTCCTCCTCCCCCCCCCCCTCGTCCTCCACAGCACCAGCACCAGCTAAACAGCGATGTGGTACAATCTACAGCACCATCATCAGCAGCACCACCAACAGCACCACCATCAGCAATAGCACCAGCAGCAGCACCAGCAGCACCAGCCCAGCAGCAGCACCACCGCCACCAGCAGCAGCACCAGCAGCACCAGCAGCACGAGAACCAGGAACACCAGCAGCAGCACCAGCAACAGGAGTACCAGCAGCAGCAACATCACCAGCAGCAGCAACCGCACCCTTCGCTACCATAGATCTCCCAATTCACCTCTGTTGCCTGCGCTGTTTCACGATGTGCGTCTCTTCCTCCCTTCGCCCGTCAGCTCTCCTGGGCATCGTTCCTGGATGGGCTGGTGGGGATAAGTGCAGCGTAAAGAATTGCTCTAATCCCACCAGCCCTCTGGGCGACAGGTGGTCTAACGATGTCTCTCTTCCATATTCCACAACCCCTTCTTCCCCTTCGGGGAGGGGTTTACCCCTCCCCCTGCCCCCTCCCCTGGACCTGGACGGAGGGGGTCGCGAGGTGTCAGAGGGCGCTTTTTCGCTCATTGGGAGGGTTATTTTTTGACACCCCTCACAGGGATCGTGGCCCCCGAGGGGGGGACACCAATTTAGGTACCCCCTTCTTTGATCGATCTCCTCCAAGATGGCCCCAAGAGCGCCCCGAAGGCTCCCAAGAGCGCCCCAAGAGCGCCCCAAGAGGGCCCCAAGAGACCCCAAGAGGCCCCCAAGAAGCCTCCAAGAGGCTGCCAAGAGACCCCCAAGAGGCCCCAAGAGAGTCCAAGATGGCCCAAGACGGCTTCAAGAGCGAAAAGGCGAGAAAACAGAAAACACAATGATTTTATCTAGGTTTTGGAAGGGTTTTGGCCTCTTGGGGGGGCCCAAGAGGCGACTCGAGGCACTCTAGAGGGGCAGCGCTAATTGGGGACCCCCCCTTCTTTGAATCGGATGTCCTCCAGATGGCCCTAAGAGCGCCCCGTAAGGCTCCCCATATGAGGCCCAAAGAGCGCCCCAGAGCGGCCCCAAGTTGGCCCAAGGCGCCAGAGGACTCAAAAGGAAAAGGGGAGGAGGGAGAACTTCCCAAGAGGACCCACAAGAGGCCAAAGAGGCTCCCAAGACGGCCCAAGTCGGCTAAAGAGAGGAAAAGGCGGTGTGAGGGGACGGGCAGCGTTGTTTTGGATGTGGTTGTGCTATATTAGGCGCGGTATCGTGGCGGCCGGGTGTGGTGGCATGTATTCTCTTTCTATGTTTTTGTTGTTGTCGAGAAAACACAAAACATTGATTTTACCTAGGTTTTGGAAAGATTTTGGCCTCAAGAAGGGCCCAAGAAGCGATTCGAGGCACTCTAGAGGGGCAGCGCTAATTGGGGACCCCCCCTTCTTTGATAGATCTCCTCCAAGATGGCCCCAAGAGCGCCTCGAAGGCTCCCAAGAGCGCCCCAAGAGCGCCCCAAGAGGGCCCCAAGAGGCCCCAAAAGGCCCCCAAGAGGCCTGCAAGAGGCCCCCAAGAGACCCCCAAGAGGCCACAAGAGGCTCCCGAGATACGCAAGAGGCCCCGGGGACCGCCAAGAGGACCCAAAGACGGCCCAAGAGGCCTCAAGCTCGCCATTGTCCTTCTCCTCCTCCTCTCTGTCTTCCTCCTCCCTCCTCCCCCTCCCCCTCCTCCTCCTCGTCCTCCTCCTCCTCCTTTTCCTTTTCCTCCTCCTCGCAGTCCTCCATCTCCTCCTCCTTATCTTCCTCCTCCTCCTCCTCCTGCTCCTCCTCCTGCTCCTCCTCCTGCTCCTCCTCTTCTTCCTCCTACTCCGACGACGACGGCTCCTCCTACATCCTCCCCTCGTTTGACCGACCGCCTCCAAGATGGCCCCAAGAGGCCCTCCAAGGCTCCCAAGAGGCCTCCAAGGTGGCCTCAAGAGCGCT